GCTACTTCATCGAAGCTAACTTGCGCTCTACCGGATGCGCTTTTATACTTCCTGGTGCTCACATCATCCCGCTCATGACGTCTCGCTGCTCCATTGGACTGATTTTACACGTGCTTCAGAACGCGGATACGCAGGGGCGTTCCCAAAGCGATTCTCGATGCAGCGTCTCGTTCCCTCGGGGAACCATGGTTACATACGTAACCTAGAGACGTTTGGTTTCTGATACTCACATTTGTAAACACCCTCTTCGCTGTTCTCCTTCACGTTCAATGATGATGTATTGATCTCCCGTGGCCTCCTGGGATAGAAAAGTATCCATCGATGAGCACTTCAGAATCTGGACTGAAGCAGTAGAACATCCGGGGACATCCATTTCTCGCCTACTCTTTTATGAATACTGAGGTTTCGGACATACTACTTTCTTCACATACTCTTTTCTCCTACTATATAGTAGGTAAGTAGGCATATTCGGACACACTTTAAGTAGACACACGTCCGAATCTCACGAGAATTTGTACGTCACCCAGGTAATTCTCGCCTACTCTTTTATGAATACTAAGGATTCGGACATACTTATTCGCTCGCCTACTGCTTTTCCCCTACTATATAGTAGAGAAGCAGGCGGTTTCGGATGCAGCCAGGGTCTATAATCTGAACATGTAATGCATATGCACATGACATAATTTCTAAAAATTTTCACTGTTGTAGTTCACACATTAATTAATGTAGATTCCATTAAAGGTATCATTTTCAAAAGCTCGCACTTTGAAACCCCTTTTCAGGAGTTTTCATTTTCAGGACCATAAAATGTTGTTGTAGACAAAACACAAATATTTTTAGTTGAACATGGTGTTGTGTAAACAGCCCCTTATCTATACAATGAGTTTTGACATTAGTTGCTTTTTTAATTACATTTTTTTACCTTAATGTTTTTTTTGGGAAATAGTTAATACATACTCAAAATGTTCTTTACATTTACATACCTTACATTTATCTGTGTTTGTTTTATTTATGAGAGTTAGTCACAGCCTATGTCTTAATTGAAATCTAGCTGATGTTTTAATATTGTAATCATCATTAAAAAAAAATGTTTATAGCCTATCTCTTACATGAAATTATAGGGACTTCACTTATTTTTTCCCCCTAAGATTTATATTTGAATGTTTCCAAAAAGTAGCTAAATTTGTCACATTCATTCATCTATAATCATTTATTCGTTTTGGTGTATTACATATAGTATGTTCGTTTATATTATGTTTATTTACAGAAGTATATTATGCCATCATACCTCAAAATCCTCTACAATGCGCGACTCATGTTTCGTCTGTTTGATAAGGGTGTTCTAAACCAACAGTCTTTAAAGAGCATGTTATTTCTAGTTCGTGTTTGATATTAAGCGTCTTATGGACTTATTTCTTTTATATACGATATTCCCCCTTAAAAATGTTCATTATTAGAGGTAAGAAATCGTATTCAGTGACAACAACACGGCATGACATCCACTTGAGTCATTCATAAACGTTACTGCAACCAGCAGCAGGAACGCCTACTAGCGACCAAACTCTCCCGGCACTGCCGACATGCAGTGACAAAACTCGGGACATCTTCAGATATTTACAACGTTATTAGTGGTTGACAAACGGCCAGGGAATATGGTTAACGCTTTTGTTTTGTTCTGTTTGTGCTCGTGTCGTATGGTTGGTAAGTTATGGATGTGTTTTTATGACTTAACTTCTTGTATTCTTGTAAACGCCTTGTTTTACTGCTTACGAAAATTAAACATGCTTTTATAAAACTTTTTTTTTTTTTTTGCGTGTTGATTACTATTTATATAATCACACAAATATCATAGTTAAACTATGTTTTTTTGTAACAAAACCATGGTTCATTTGTAGTTAACATGGAATAACTACAACTATAACTACTTTTTTTTTCGTAGTAAAACCATGGTTAATTTTTGTAAGGGAAGTTTCACAGACATATCCTTACAAAAGTAGGCTATTTTTATTGATTAGTTTAGGAGTGTGGATAGTAATTTTGCTGAAGGAATTCAACTAGAAATATACCAAAACAAAGTTTATCTTGTTGTAAAACACTGAAAATGCACAGCTTCAAAATAAATATCAATGTTATGACATTAACATGTCTTCAACGGGCATTTAGCTAATTCAAGGTGGTTCATGATCTCTCAGTAACTATAACTTGTTAACTGAATAAGATAAAATCAGTTGATCCACAGAGTGAGTGCTGTGTTTCACTTCTTTTAGCACACAAAAACGAGTGCAGAAGAAATATCAGGTGACACTCAAAAAGAAGAATTGCATGTGTCCATTAATGAGGAACAAATAATTTCAGAACCTCCCAAAATAGCTTGACTGTCGTGTATGAGTTCTGCAGTCTTGTAAATGCTCTTCAACAGCACAGACCTTATAAATGATATTTATTATACACTGTATTCTAGATTGGGGCCAAAGCCCAGGGGCCCTTCACTATGGGCTGTATTGTCCAGGGATTGATTTAATAGGCTATGTGTGCCTCAGAGCCTCAATTTGTGTCTATATTTTCTTAAAGATATTGATAAAAGTTTGGCTTAAATTATACTGAGAATCCTTATTGTGTCATTTTATGAAGAAATTATCGCTATGGCTATATTTGAAGTTATCATTCTTGGTGTGAACAGGCCTTTAGTCTGTGACAAAATATATTTCTGTTTGTTTTCTAGATGTGACCGATGCAGTGAAGAGAATATCAGTGATGATGGGAGATTCTGTCACTCTAAACACAGATGTTTCTGAAGTACAGACATATTTGTTGATGCAGTGGATGTTTGGAAGCACAAGAATAGCTGAATTTAACAGACTCACGCAAACAATCTCAATCTATGATGGTCCTGATGGGAGATTCAGAGACAGACTGCAGCTGGATCAGACTGGATCTCTGATCATCACAAACACCAGAACCACAGACTCTGGACTTTACCACCTCACAGTTGTCGGCGAAGAGACAAAATACAAAAGTTTTAATGTTACAGTCTATCGTGAGTAGAACATTATGGCATAATTTGCATTTTCAATTTTTTACAACCGCATTTTATGATATTGGCTGCTTTAATTAAAATGAAATAAATTTCTGTAAATAAAGATCAAAAGTGTGTGTGATGAGACTGACGTCACAGTATCATCTGTCATTACCAGAATATCCATGGAGTACTTCATCTCCGGAAAGTTTGTCAAGCTCAAATTGTGTGACGTCCAGCTTTGTGGTGAACAATTCAACCGTCAATCAAACTGAGAATAACAACAATACTGAACACCATCAGCCAAGTTCAGGTACATTACTGATGATATTAGCATTTATTTACAAAGCAGAACTCTGTTAGATGTGTTCAGGTAAATCAAAACCCAGCATATATTCATTGCATTGGTGCAGAAGCGAAAACCAAAAGCGACTGTATAAACCACAAAAAACTTGCCTTTATGCATATGGCAGATGCTTTTATCCAAAACAAAATTACATTGCATTCAAGGTATACATATGAACAACCCATGCATTCCCTGAGATTTGTCTTTTTTATGGATATTGGGGGTAGAGCGCATTTCCTTTTTTTCCCCCTGAGTTTACAAGAATGGAGAACAGACCGCAGACGAGCGACAGAGAAGTGAAGCGGGTGTCTGAGAGCCATGGGGGGGGGGAATCACATAATCACACACATTTCTAGGAGTGAATAAAAAAAGAGTTCAGAATTGCCTATATTCTACAGTCATAGTTAATGTCATTTGGCTACGCAAGTAAAGTGTGAATATGACACAATCAAATTTGCACACATTGTCTTCCCAGTATGCTTGAACTCCTTATAATAACCCACAAAACTGGCCCCTGTAAGCCTGTTTTAAATAAGACTTATATGCATCATATTTTTCTTTTTTCAGACAACATCCACTGTTGTGGTTTCAATGAAGCTGTGATCCGATTGGCTCTCTCTGCCCTTGTGGGCGTGGCTACAGTTGCTGTGCTGGTTTATGACATCAGATCTACAAGACATGAACTGATCAGAACAGAAGAGACTAAACATTACCATCATACTCTCAGACCGACAGTCTGAATTGTGCAGAAAGCTGAGTTTCAGATATGTCCAGATATAAAGCAAAACATCCGTTGATGCTCTGCACCTTTCCTGTTCCTTGCACAGCTATTTATTAACAGATAATTTTTGCATTCATTGATTGATCTAATAAATGTAATTTTTGACTCTGAAGATAACTGCTCTAAACAAAATAATAATTAGCAACAGAAATGATGGCATGGAATGATTTCATAAGCTCTCAGTTATTTTGTATCCTTGAAATTAATCTCACAGAGGCAGTCTGTGCACATTTTTAGTGAATTTATTTAACCAATTTTAACCCACCGGCAGCTATAGTTGCCGCAGTATATAGTTGTCATTTTCCTTTTGTAAGTATTTTTCTAGATGTTATCCATGTTTTATGTCTCTGATCTATAGCTTGTTGTATACTTAGTCAAAAGTCCAAGCGGCAACTATAGTTGCGGGTGGGCAATTGACTTGTAAGTCAATAGGTTAATAAATCAATCAAGGTTATTGGTCTTGTTTAGAGCTTTTTGGGAGAAGAGAGATAGAAAAGTGGAGTGGGGAGGATACGTATCACACAACTTCCCATTCCAAATATCTTAATAAAGAAATCGTCTGTATGCACTAAGGTGGGGAAAAAAAGTATTCACTTCCTTCCTGTCACATGAGGCCGTCAACTTCCTACCCCTACTTCCAGGAAGCATGGTGAAGACAAACCCTCCCAAAGAAACGTAATTTTAATGTTACTAATAAGTATTTTGTTGATATATATATATATATATATATGACGGGCCGGCACTGGTAGCGAGTTCTAAAGGTTTCATATTTATTACATTATTTATTGTAGTTTCTATTTTGTATTATTTTTATTTTATTATTATATTATTTTATTATTATTTTATTATTATTTTTTTTTTTGTATAGATGTAATTTTTTTCTTCATTGTATTTATTTTTATATATTTATTTTCATTTATCTTTTTTATGCACAAGGCCCTGTTGGGGAAACTTAATCTCTGCACTTTGTTCTGCACTATGTTCCACCACTTTAAGACAAATGGATTTGTTGTTTGTTGTGTTTTCTTATATTCAAGAGATTATAAGCTAGATGCAGCTTTTTTGGGTTCACATCGAATGTTCTTCGACTTTTATACATAATAAATTTGTTTATGAAAAAAGATGTATCTGTTGAAAGCAGTTATTTTGAGTTAGATCCCAAATAGTCTCCTCCTATTCAAATGTGACATTGAAGGGGTGCACACAACATATTTGCCCTCCGGCAACTATAGTTGCTGCACATTCAAAAAAAATTTTCAAAAAAAAAAAAAACTGGGGAAAATAAATGGAGAACATGTACATATAGGACACTATTAACATGACTATATGCATGAAACATTCCGAAAAAATTGGGCACAAATGGGTTAATAAAGATTTGGTTTTACAATAGCGTGAATCTTGTTTTTGGTGTATTTGTTCTACTGTATGTTTATAACATCATAAAACGATACAGTTAAAATACAAGTTGCATAGGTATGTGATTCACTGATTTCATGTGACACTTGTAAGTAAGTTTGTGATTCAAAGTGAAACCTGCTGTGGTCCTGCTGCGCTTGAGAAACAGTGTCTCTTCCGCGGCTCGGTATGCGTTCAACTCGTTTTTTTTTTTTAGTCTCGAGTAAGAGACTGTATGACATTCACGTTACATGATTTGACTGATTTTTACATAGAAAGGGCGACAGCGAACCGCATTAAAAGAAATGAACATTCATGTTTTTATTACCGCTGGCCAAATAAAAAACGAAATTAAAATTAAATCATCTTTGAGAGCATGGGGCCCCCTGGGGTTTCGGGGGCCCAACGCAGCTTGCCTACTTTGCGTATAGGGAGGATCGGCTCTGCCTCCATATAGTTTTCCACTGCTGTAACATTTTGATCTATTTTAGCATCCCCATGTTATATAATGTTCATTGAAATTTTCACACCATATCACCATATCTTTTTCTTTTCTCTCATTTTTTTTTTTTTGGAATGAAATGCTACAGAAGGGAGTACACTTTAAAAATGTTATATAATTTATATATATATATATATAATATATTACTTAAAAAAACATTAATTATGGGTTTCAACAAATGGATCACAATTTTTAATATAAAATATAACAATAGAGTATAAGATAGAGTATAAAATATTTAATTAATAGCAGATTTTTTTGGTGATTATCATCAAACACTACACATAGAAGGGTTATTAAAAATGTATTTCTATCAGGGGTTATACAAAAATACATACAATTAATAATTACTGCTTCACAATAAACATAGACATTCTTTTACATTCTCCTATCTTACTTGAAGTCAACACAGCACACTACAAAAGACATAAAACAGTAACAGTATGTGTGTGTATATATATATATATATATATATATATTCCCCCATATCATATTTGAAAGGATTTGAATAAATGCATTGATTAAAAACAAGGAAAACCTACATAAATATTTTTTTAATGTTATGTTATGTTATGTTTCTTATGTTGAAGAGCATTTAATATCCATAGAACCTTTCCATTCCACAAAAGGTTATTAATAGTGGAAGAAAATTATTTAGATTGTTTAAATGTTCTTTACACTAGGAAAAAAATATTGTGAGATATGTGTATAGGAGTATCTCAGTTTAACATATTTTTGTTTTCAGTGTTAAACTACAGTATTATGTTAAGAAACTAAGTGGGATGTGTATCCAGTTGTTTAGTTAATTATGAAAGAGTTTCATACACATTTCCCTGTTCATCTAAAAAAAGTTTTACATGTTGCTGAGTTTAACGGCTCAACAAAACACTGGTTCATTTTTCCCTTTTGTAAAATCAGAAATGTGTTGTTGAGCTCAAATGCTGTCACAGTTATTGACATTGGTGGGCATGACTGATCACTCATTCACTCCATCCACCTCCTCTTCATTCAACAGCAGCATCTCTACAGTCACTGATTCATTCGCTTGTTTTCCTGTGGAATCTGAATGAAAATACAGGGACAGTCACAGAAACTGAAAAGAGAGAAAGAAACTATTTTGCATGTACATCATGGATGATGTTAATCTCAAATAAGATGAGAGCTCCTAATTATACAGAAAGTTACAGAAAGTCAAAGACAAAAATCAAGTCTGCAGTGAGTGCCAGAAAATACTTTTACAATATATCTTAGTCTATTATTTACAAAAATTGTCATTTTCCTGTTTGCTTGAGAATATATGGTAGATGGAGTGGAATATTTAGAAGGGAAGATTTTAGTCTGTTCCTTGCGAAAAGCAATAATAATACTTCTTCTGTGTTTTGTATTTTTATTGATTGACAAACTGAACATGAACTGTTTCTGTTACGATTAATTTTGTTATAATGCTAGTGTGACATTTCATGGAACCTTTTTACCCTATAAAGACCATTTTGTCCAATGGAAAGGTTCCATGGATGTTAACTGTTCTTCAGGGAACCATCAATGCCCATAAATAACCTTTATTTTTAAGAGAGTATTGTGTAAATAAATATATAACTGTTAAAATGTTGTTCTACTCACCAGTGACAGTCACATTGAATCTCCTGAATATGGTGTTCGCTGTTGATGATCTGTAGTTTAAAATGTCCAGAGTCTGCAGTTTCGATGTTTCTGATGATCAGAGATCTTACTCAATTTAAGTAATAACATTGTAGACTGAACTCCGATTAATTTGTTAGTTTTAAGTTAAGTAGATTCACACTTTTAAGTAATCGCAATTGAATAAATTTAAGTTAGTCCACAACACGTTTTCTTTTGTTTCAATAACTTTTATTTGTCAATGTATATACAGCGGTGTGAAAAAGTGTTGGCCCCCTTCCTGATTTCTTATTTTTTTGCATGTTTGTCACACTTTAATGTTTCAGATCATCAAACAAATTTAAATATTAGTCAAAGATAGCAGGGGTTCTCCACTTTTGGTGGTACCACTAATGAAATGAACTTCATCAATATGACAAGAACAAAATGCAAATGTTATGTTCAATGGTTTAATTTGAATACAAGTATCTTATTTAATTATGTAATTACATTGAAAGACTAACTATAAAGCCTCACCCGTGACAAAAAGAAGGAATCGCTGTGAGGTTTAGGCAGTGGATGGGGGTTACGCCTACTAATGACCAAACCCTCCAGTTGCTGGTGGTGTGAACAAGGTGTTTTTAGACATTTAGCCTACAGGGTTTTACATTGGTTGCAACCAGTCAGGGAACATGGTCCATGCTTTTGTTTTGTTCACCTTGTGTTTGTGGTGTCCGGTTGGTAAGTTAAAAATGTGTTTTATGACTACCCAGTCAACAATTTGAACTCACAATGATTTCAGATACTACTCACACGGTGAGGATCACAGTATGAGAATCGTGTGATGTCACTGTGATCATTGCATGATCTCACGTGTTGACTGGGTACTAAAGTCTTGTTAGCTATTATTACTTTGTGGGCTTAAGTCATTTATTTGAAGGACTTCTGTTTTATAACACTGATCATTTAATTACACAAATTGAAATCAATGTTATAATGTTCAACATGACATGCATTTAGCTCATTTAAGGTCATTTTGACAGTATAAAATTTAATTTGTCAATGAACCAGTATAAAAATTAAATTAGTCAATGAACCAGACAGGTCAGCTCAATAAGATTAAAGCCTTCTGATCCACAGATCATGTTTTTATTCTGTTTGCACATCTGCCTGTTGAACTGTTTGTCCCATCTTTTATTTTGCATCTTTAGTGTTTCTACTGCTGTTTTGAACTTTTTCCATTTCAAATCTAATCCCAGTTTTAAAGTTCACTGCAAACCATTCATTCATATTAGTAGAAAATGTCCACATAATACAGACCTAAACTGTCATTTAATTTGGTCATTAAATAACATTATCTTTTTGGGGGGCCTTAGTCTGTGACAAAACATGTTCCTGATTGTTCTCCAGGTGTGTTTGGTGTTGATACAGAAGAAGTGAAGACA